TGTTTGTTACTTGGAAATGGCTAAAATTCTTCGTCTCGTAGGATGTTCTAAATAAACCAAGGTACATCAATTCAAATAAGTAATGTGCAGTTGTCAAAAATAATATCTTTTATGCACCAGTATGGAACAATGTTCATGGTAAAAGTGGAAATCAAAAATATGTACAGTAAAATGAGTATAAGTTTGTGTTGATGTATAGATAAGATGTTTATGTTTCCAGAGAGTTTCTGGAAAGAAACTTATTGATAGCTTCTGAGGGATGCATCAAGAGACTTAAACTGCCTACTTCATACCTGTCTGTAGTTGAACTTTTCACCATAGGCAACTGTTTCTTTAATTTATGTAGTTTAAGGAGTGGATACTAGAGAAGACCTACCTTCATAGTGGTTCATGTAACATGATATAAAATATCTGATTCTTGGCATTAACTTTTGATAGGTTATGCTTGGGGCACTATATCCAGTTCTGGGCACAATGCCTTCAGGAGGATGACTATCTAAAAAGCACCAAGAGAAGGTTGAGGGGACTGGGAAAACCGTGCCACATATGTAATAGTTAAATTGATTGAGTATATCTAACTATTTAAAAGAAAAACTTAGAATGAGAACTTTAGGGCTGTCATTCTCTTACAGACACTCACTATTCTGTAAGCTTTTGTAAAGACAGGAAGTTGTGGGTTTTTTTTTTTTTAACTCATCTGTTTAGGAGCCTCTTTTCCTTGTATTTAGTACAAACTCAACAAATATTTGTATAAATAAAAATCTGATTACATTTCTTTCCTACTTAAAACCCTTCATCAGCTCTCTCAAACATCTCCCCATTTTCACTTTCAGCAGGTGACTTTAATTCCCTCTTCATGGACAGAACTGAAGCATCAACAGAACACTTTTAAGACCTCCCTCTGTTGCTCTCTCCCAAGCTGTTTTCCCTCCTGTTACTATCTGTGACAGTGCTTCTCAAATGTGAGCATGCATCATCATCATCACCTGGAGGACTTATTAAAACAGATTGCATGGCACCACCCCCAAAGTTTCTGATTCAGGACATCTGGGGTGGGGCCTCATAATATGCATTTCTAACAAGTTCCAGATGATGCTGGTCTACTTTGAGAATGACCGTCACAGGTGTTTCTCCCTCATCATTATCTTATGCACCAGACCCCATACCTCTCACCTAGTAAGGACATCACTCTAATAACTACCCCTTTCATTTTTCTTCTCATTGTTGAATCACTTATTTCAGAACACAAATATGCTTTATTTCTCCTACTAAAATTCTTGACCCAGTTCTACATGCTGTCTCATTTTTAAGCTTTTCATTGGCATAAAATTCCTTGAAGAGTTACTGATTTTCACACCTCTAATTTCTCTTCTCCAATCATTCCTTAGTCCTCTTCATTTCAGATTTTGCCAATGCCCCACCTTCAGCACCACCAAAATTATTTTCAAGATCACCAATTTACTAAATCTGTCAGTTTTCAGACTTCCCATTTCGTTTTCTAGCAGCTGCTTTTGATACATTTGACCCCTTCCTCTTTGAGAAACTTTCTTTACTTGGCTTCCAAGGACACCACACTCTTGTTGATTTTCTTCCTTCATCAGTGGTTGCTGCTTCTTAGTCTCCTTTGCTGGTTTCTTATCTTCTCCCTGATCTTTTAATGTTGCCTGCTCCAGGGCTCAATCCTCAGACTTCACCATCTTCATTTGTTCCTTGGCAGTCACTCCTCAATTTCCCCTACATCTGCTTTTCCATCTCAGTCTTTGGCAGTTCCATCCCTCTAGTTCCTGAGACTAAAAACTTGAAGTCCTGCTTGACCCTTCTCTTCAAAACCCATGTTCAAACCAAGAAAAATATGTTTACCATCCAAATATGTCAAGAAACTGACTATTCCTCACTACAGCTACTGCTTCCAACCTAGTCTGAGCCACTCTCATCTCATCTGGATACTGCAATAACCTCCTAACAGGTCCTGCTTCTACTTTTGCTCCCTAAAGTAAGCAACCCAGGAAGCAGAATGAGTTGCTTAAAATGCTACTTCACTCATATTAAAATCCCACATCTTTATGATAGCCTATGAATCCCCATGTGATTTGCACTTGCCCTCCTTTCTCTCTGACATCCTCTTACTACTGTTCTCTTGCTCACTCTGCTCCAGCCCTTTCCCCAGAACATACCAGGCCCCTCCTGCCTTTAACATTAGAGTATTTGGCTGTGTTCTTCTACTTAGAGAACTCTCGCCCCAGATGCTTGCCTCATGACAGCATCTCCTTCAAATCTTTGCTTCAAAATCACCTTAGTGGGTCAACCACAAACATCCTGTTTTAACAGATGGTAATTCCCCTCACTCCATGCCCAAAGTACCCTAAAGACTCTTACCAGCACAACTTTTTTTTCCCTTCCATAGCTCTTCTCCCTACATGCTGTAGTATTTGTATATATTTGTTTATTGTTTTGTGACCCCCCCCCAACACAATTCCTCCAAAATGTAGAACCTCTGTGAGAGCAGGAAACTTGTCATTCACTGAGATCCCAAATGACCAGACTAGTGCTTGGCATTTAGTAGGTTTCCAGCCAATACTGTCTTGAATCTACAACTTTCCAATACACATGGCTTGCAAAGCCCTGCATGTTCTGGCTTACTCCAGCCTTTTTCTCACTTCCCACACCTCATGGCACTCTAGATCAGCGCTGTCTGATAGAAATATGTGAGCCAATGTGTAATTTTAAATTTTCCAGCAGCCACATTTACAAAGTAAAAAACTGTTGAACTTAATTGTAATATATTTTACTTAATGTAATATATCCAAAATATGGAGATATGTAATATTTAAAAATTATGAAATTTTATATTCTACTTTAAATACTAAACCTTTGGAATTGGATATTTTATACTAACATTGGATATTTAATTGGATATTTTAATTTTTTCTTTTTTTCTTTTTTTTTGAGTTGGAATCTCACTCTGTCTCCCAGACTGGAGTACAGTGGCATGATCTCAGCTCACTGCAACCACCACTCCCCAGGTTCAAGCGATTCTCCTGCCTCAGCCTCCTGAGTAGCTGGGATTACAGGGTGGCTGCCACCATACCCAGCTGATTTTTGTATTTTTAGTAGGATGGGGTTTCACCATGTTGGCCAGGCTGGTCCCAAACTTCTGACCTCAAGTGATCCACCAGTCTCAGCCTTCCAAAGTGCTAGGATTACAGGCATCACCCACCGCACCTCACTGTGAGGCTAAGTTTTTATGAGAAATGTTCTGTGTTTAAACTGAATAAAATTTACTTTAAAAAAGTAGACTCACATACCTGAGTTGTTCCAGTTATATTCAAGTGGCTATCAACTTTTAAATTTAACTTCATTGAAACTAAATAAAGTTAATTTCATTTGCTCAATTGCAGTAGCTACATTTTAAGTGTTCAACAGTCACACTTGGCTAGTGATGTATTAGCACAACTCTTTAACTCCAGCTCCAAGCAGGCCAGGCTCCTCCTCGCCTCTGGTCTTTTGTAACTGTTGCCCCTCCATTTGGAAGACTGCTATGAAACCCACTTGATCATGGTGTATTATCTTTGATATGCTGTTGGATTTGGTTTGGATTTTTGCATCTATGTACATCAGGGATGTTGGTCTGTTGTTATTTTGTTATGTTCTTTTCTGGTTTTTGGAATTCTGTTGTCTTGACAGTTATTTACTTTGTTTCTTATCTTATTGTATAGTTTGTCTTCTTGAGACTGTAGGCTTCTATAAATTGTGGACTAATTTAGATGCCACTTTTGAGGACCTGGCACATGATTTGCACTTAATGAGCAGCTGCTATGGTCTGAATTTCTGTGTCCTCGTAAATCCATATATTGAAATCTAATCTCCAGTGCAGTAATATCAAGAAGTGGAGCCTTTGGAGGTGATTAGGTCATGATAGATTTTCCTTCATGAATGAGATTAGTTTCTCTATAAATAAGGCCTTTGTAACCCCTCTGCCATGTGAGAACTCGCCTAGAAGGTGCCGTCTATGAAGTAGAGTGGGCCCTCTTTAGATACTGAATCTTCTGGTGCCTTGACCTTGGACTTCCACCATCCAGAACTGTGAGAAACAACTTTCTAGTATTTATTTTATAACTCACTCAGTCTAAGATATTTTGTTATTGCTACCCAAATGGACTAAGACATCAGCCACTAAAAAATGTTCATTTTTACCTTAATCATTAATTTAAAAGGAACAGCCGTGGAAGTTTAACACCAGTCATACTAACTGGATCCTAAGGAAGTTGTTTTTGAAAAAGTACAAATATCAACATGAAAATGTTTCAGAATTCAGCATATGACTGAAAAAGAGACATGTTCTTGGTTTAATAAGCATTTTGCTGCAGAGCACTTTTTTTTTCAGAATAAAAAATAACATTTGATTATTTCATTTAGGGAAGATTTACAGGAAATAGTGTTGTCAACTATACCCTCAGTTTTATAGATGATTCAGTCTTAAAAACTTGACACATCGGAATGTGATGATGTGTTCATTAGCTGCTCTCTTTGACCTTCACTTTAGTTTACAAATTCCCACCCTTTAAGAATCAAGATTACAAGGCTAAGGCAGTAAATAATAGGAAAATCAACTTCAAATATATACAAAAATACAAAGAGCAATATAATGAGCCCCTGTCTGCCACTGGGCTTCAAGAATTACCTCATAGACAATCTGTTTATTCTATAATCCCACCAAGTATTCACCTCCGATGTTACTTTGAAGCATTTCTCATGTATAATTTCATCTATGAATATTTCCATGATACTTCTAAAGGATAAATATTTTTAAGATAACCACAATAACACTAGCACACATAAAAATATGAATAAAAGTTTCTTAATGTCAAAATATTTAGTGAATATTCAAAATTTAAAATATAAATGCTATTTTTTAGATGTTGTTTATTTAAATTAGGATCCAAGTAGAGTCCATACAATGCAGTTGGTTAATGCATATTTTGTGTTTTTTTTTATTCTAGGCCATCTCTTTTCTCACACTCTCTAACTCTCCTCCCCGCTACTCTAGTTCACTTATTGAAGAAACCCGGCTTTTTTGTCCTGGAGAGCTTCCTAAAGTCCAGATTCTTTTAACAGCATCCCAAAGTGCAAGTATAATTTAAAATCTCCTTCTGTATTTCCTCTAAGTTTATGCATTAAACCTAGTCATTTTTTTTTTCTTCTTCAAGGCTGCTGTAGAGGATGTAATGTGTTTTCCATCAGTAGGCAAATAATGTCTCCTCTCTTTGATGTTAGCAGCCATTAACTTTCAATGCCTCTGTCCATTTTAATATGAGTTGCAAAAAAATAGTATTCTATGTCAAAGTTACCTCCATTTAAAAACAGAAAATGCAAGACAGCCTTCATGTTTTAAGATTTAAAACATCTAAATATACACAACTCATGAAATTTAACACATTCAATGAAAAGCTTAGTAAACAAAGAATCAAAATTCATTAGTATTTAAGAACAGATCATATGTATGTCATATAGACATATCAGAGACATCAAATATGCAGGTCATAATTAGGAACAAAGCCATAGGAAGGGAAAACATAAGACTCTATCTTAAATACTAGACAAATTTTAAAAAACTAAATAGCACTGAAAATGTAAAATATCAATAAAATGAGAAAGAAGGTTAATCTGAACATTAAGGTTGAAAAAATTGGAGAGCTGGATAACAAACTCAAGAAGTAGCCTGGGATGGACAGAGAAAAAGATGGTAAGTATAAGGAGCTGAACACATAAAAAGTGTAGCAGAAGTTCTGACATAAATCTTATTACATGTCCCAAAAAGAGGAAATGAAACATACGTGTTTCTGAATTTCAGCGTGATAATGTAAGGAACGCTGGATTCAGTTCCCAGCAAGACTAGTGAAAATTATTTTAAAACAACCATTCAAAGTCTCTGAAAATGGTCGGTGGACACACAGCAAGTTAAGAAACTTTCAAGAGCATTTACTAAAATTTGGTAAGAACAGTGAGAATCTGCAGGATTTTGAACTATCTGCATCCTCCTTTCTCACTCCCAACTCAGCAAGATGGAATCTTTCAGACTGGTGCAGCCAAGAACACAAGCGCCATTTCACTCAGCTCCAGTTGAGGGGCTATCAATCCAGAAGGGACAGGATGTATTTCTCATCCCGCCTCCACCTGTTGCTGAGGCTACATTGCAGGCAAGTGCAAGTGAAATCACGGCTCTTTTCTTATGCCCAGGTACCATTTATGTGGAGAGAGAGATCTACTCTGGATGTGCTGCCACTGAAAGCACTGGGCCCCAGTCACCTTTGGTTTCAGCTTGTAAGGCATTAATTCCATGCTAGGATAAGCCAGCCAAAAACAACGACGACAAAAATTCTGAACTTACTCTTCCCTTCCCCCACACCCCACTGGGCACTCAGTTCCAAGACAAGACTGGGAGTGTCACTTAGAGTGAAGCTGTCATTGTTCCTGCTCCCAGTTTCAAAACCACAGCAGAGATCTCACCTGGAAGGAGATGAAGGCCACAAATCAGAGAGCTCTTTATCTTTTCCAAATTGAACTGACTCCATTGCAACACAGTGTGTACTCTCAATGAGGTAGTTTTATTGTTGGAAGTGACAAAGCAATCATCTAGCAATTAGAGGAGCTTAACAACTAGATATGTATAGGGGAAAAGATAGCCAAAAAGAACCCTGCCAAAACCACTGTTAAAAGCTGACTTCTCAGCAGAAGCAGTGTAGCCCAAGAAGCAGAGTGAATCTATTCAAAATGCTAAAAGAAAGAAACTTAACCAATCCAATATTTAGTGCAAAGTATGTTTCAAAAGCAAAAGAAAATTGGAAGTATTCCCAGATAAACATAAACAGATAATTTGTTGCTAACAGACAGACCCTCCTTACAAGAAATGCTAAAAGAAGTTCTTTAGGTTGAAAGTAAGTGACCCAGATGGCAATTCAATTCCACACACACAAAAAAACAAAGTGTACTGGTAATGGTAGTTATGTTAAAAGACAGTATAAATGAATATTTTTTCTCCTTAGCCAAGTTAGAAGGCACCTATATAAAAGAAGATATATATATTGTATTGCTGGGCTTTTAACATATATGAATGAAATACATTTTGCTGATAACAGCACAAAGGAGGTAGATGGGAGCAAGGTTGTATTGAGCTAAGAAAATTACTCCAGGCTAACACATATTGACAAGAACAATTGAAGAGAAACAGAAATAGTAAATTAATTTAATATGATAAAATCTATAAATACACACTTGTTCTCTCAGCAACCTTAATGATATTAAATTATATAAAGTAATAATTATAGCAGTGTATTTTGGGTTTGTAACATTTAAATTTTAATATGTATAGCAACACAAAACGAGAAAAGAAATAGAGCTACACAAGAGTAGTGTTTCTAAATCTCACAAGAATTAATATAAATCTGAAGCTGATTCTGATAAGTTACAATGTATGTAGTAAGCCCTAGAGCAATCATTAAGGAAACTTACACACACACATATATATATATTTAAAGAAATTGAAATGCTACCTAGGTAATATTGATTACTAAAAAACAAAGCAGTAAAGGAGGAAAAAAAGAACAAAAACAAGATACATGGAAAACAAAAGAAAAATTAAATATAAGTAATAACATTAAATATGACCAGATTAAACAATCAAAAGGCATTGTGTGTCAGACTGGATTGAAAAAAAAAAGATCCAACTATATGTGGTATACAGGAGACATACTTTATTTAGATTCTAAATACAAAAAGAGTTAAAGGAATCAAGTGCAATGGCTCACACCTGTAATCTCAGCACTTTGGTAGGCTGAGGTGGGAGGATCATTTGAAACCAAGAGTTTGAGACCAATCTGATTAACCTAGTGGGACCCCCATCTCTACAAAAAGATTTTTAAAATTAGCCAGATGTGGTGGCACACGCCTGTAGTCCTAGCTACTTGGTAAAGTGAGATAGGAGAATTGCTTGAGTTCATGAGTTTGAAGTTTCAATGGGCTAGGATCACACTAATGCATTTCCGCCTGGGTGACAGAATGAGACCCTGTATCTTTTTTAAAAAAGGAAAAAAAAAAAAGGAAAGATACCATGCAACCAGTAACCACAAGAAAGAGAGTGATGATAATAGTGTCAGGAAAAATTAAAAATCTTAAAATGTTGCTGGATACAAAGAGGGACACTGTATAATGATCAAAGGGTCAATCCATGAGGAAGATATAAAAGTTATAAACATATATACACATAATTGCAAGCCATTACAGTACATGAAGCAAAAACTAGGATAGATGAAAGGAGAAATATGTAAGTCAACAATAATAGTTACAAATTTTTTTTTTACCTTTTAGGTTCTGGGTACACAGGTTTGTTAAATAGGTAAACCCGTGTCACACAGTATCATCACCCAGGTAGTAAACCTGGTACCCAATGGTTATTTTCTCTGCTCCTCACCCCCTCCCACCCTCCACCCTCAAGTAAGCCCCAGTGTCTGTTGTATCTTCTTTGTGTCTGTTAGTTCTTATCATCTAGCTCCCACTTATAAGTGAGAACATGTGGTGTTTGGTTTTCTGTTTCTGTGTTACTTTACTAATGATAATGGCATCTAGCTCCATCTATGTTCCCACAAAAGACACAGTCTCGTTCTTTTTAATGGCTGCATTGTATTCCATGGTACATATGTACCACATTTTCTTTGTCCATTCTATCATTAGTGGGCATTTAGGTTGATTCCATGTCTTGGCTGTTGTGAATAGCACTGCATGTGTCTTTATGGTAGATTGATGTATGTTCCGCTGAGTATATACCTAGTAATGAGATTGCTCGGTCAAATGGTAATTCGGATTTTAGCTCTTTGAGGAATCACCACACTGCTCCCCACAATGGTTAAATTAATTTATACTCCCACCAGTGTATCAACGTTACCTTTTCTCCATACCTCGCCAGCATCTGTTTTTTTTTTAACGTTTTAGTAATAGCTATTCTAACTGCTGTGGGCTGGTATCTTGTGGTTTTGATTTGCATTTCTCTAATGATCAGTGCTATCAAGCTTTTTAAAAATATGATTGTTGGCCACATGTATGTCTTCTTTAGAAAAGTATTTGTTCATGTCTTTTGCCCACTTTTAAATGGGGTTGCTTGTTTTTTTATTGTAAATTTGTTTAAGTTTCTTACAGACGCTGGTTAGTAGACATTTATCAAATGCATAGTTTGCAAATATTTTCTCCCATTCTATAAGTTGTCTGTTTATTCTGTTGATAGTTTGTTTTGCTGTGCAGAAGCTCTTAAGTTTAATTAGATCACACTTGTTAATTTTTGCTTTTGTTGCAATAGCTCTTGGTTATCTTTGTCACGAAATATTTGCTCATTCCTATGTCCAGGATGGCATTGCCTAGATTGTCTTCCAGGGTTTTTATAGTTTTGAATTGTACATTTAAGTCTGTAATCGATCTTGAGTTGATTTTTGTGTATGATATAAGGAAGGGGTCCAGCTTCAATCCTATGCATATGACTACCAGTTATCCCAACACCATTTATTGTATAGGGAATCTTTTCCCCATTACTTGTTTTTGTCATCTTTGTCAAAGATCAGGTGTTCATAGATATGCAGCCTTATTTCTGGGCTCTCTATTCTGTTCCATTGGTCTATGTGTCCATTTTTATACCAGTACTATGCTGTTTTGGTTACTGTAGTTTGGAGTATAGTTTGAAGTTGGGTAACATGATGCCTCCAGCTCTTTGCATAGGATTGCGTTGGCCATTTGGGCTCTTTTTTGATTTCATGTGAATTTTAGTTGTTGTTGTTGTTGTTGTTGTTCTGTGAAGAATGTCATTGGTAGTTTGATAGGAATAGCATTTGATCTATAAATTGCTTTGGGCAGTGTGGTCATTTTAATGATACTGAATACTTGCTATTTATGAGCATGGAATGCTTTTCCATTTGTTTGTATCATCTCTGATTTCCTTGAGCAGTGTTTTGTAATTCTTGTGGAGATCTTTTACTTTCCTGGTTACCTGTATTTCTAGGTATTTTATTCTTCTTGTTGCAGTTGTGAATGGGATTGCATTCCTGATTTGGCTCTCTGCTTGACTGTTGTTGGTGTATAAAAATGCTAGTAATCTTTGTACGTTGATTTTGTATCCTGAAATTTTGCTCAAGTTGTTTATTTGGTGAAGGAGCTTTTGGACAGAGACTTCGGGGTTTTCTATATAGTCATGTCATGTGCAAACAGATAGTTTTACTTCCTCTCTTCCTATTTAGATGCCCTATATTTCCTGCTTTTGCTTGATTGCTGCAGCCAGGACATCCAGTACTATGTTGAATAGGAGTGGTAAGATAGGGCATCTTTGTCTTGTGCCAGTTTTCAAGGGGAGTGCTTCCAGCTTTTCCCCATCCAGTATGATATTAGCTGTGGGTTCATCATAGATGGCTCTTATTATTTTGAGGTATGTTCCTTCAATACCTAGTTTATTGGGAGTTTTAACATGAAGGGATGTTGAATTTTATCCAAAGCCTTTTTCTGCATCTCTTAATGTAATCATGTGGGTTTTGTCTTTACTTCTGTTAATGTGCTGAATCACATTTATTGATTTACATATGTTGAACCAACCTTTCATCCCAATAATAAAACCAACTTGAATATGGTGGCTAAGCTTTTTGATGTGCTGCTGGATTCAGTTTGCTACTATATTGTTGAGGATTTTTGCGTCAATGTCCATCAAAGATATTTGCCTGAAGGTTTCTTATTTTGTTGTGTTTCTGCCAGGCTTTGGTATTAGGATGACACTGGCCTCATAAAATGAGTTGGGGAGGAGTTCCTCTTCCTCAGCTTTTAGAATAGTTTCATTAGAACTGGTACCAGCTTTTACTTACCCATCAGGTATAATTTGGCTGTGAATCTATCTGGTCCTGTGTTTTTTTATGGTTGGAAGGCCTTTTAATACTGATTCAATTTCAGAACTCTTTATTGTTTTGTTCAGGAATTTAATTTATTCCTGGTTCAGTCTTGGAAGGGTGTATGTTTCCAGGAAATTATCTATTTCTTCAAGATTTCCTAGTTGTGCCATAGGGGCATTTGTACAATCTTTGAGGTTTTCTTTTTCTATTTCTGTGGGATTATTGGTAATGTTCCCTTTGTCATTTCTGATTGTATTTATGTGGATATTCTGTTTTTCTTTATTGGTTTAACTAGTAGATTATCAATCTTAGTTTTTCTTTCAAAGAACAAATTTCTGGATTTGCTTATGTTTTGTATGTTTTTTCATGTATCCATTTTGTTCAGTTTAGCTCTGATTTTGGTAATTTCTGTTTTCTCCTACATCTGGGGTTGGTTGGCTTTTGTTTTTCTAGTTTCTCTAGTTGTAATTTTAGGTTGTTAATTTGAGATTTTTCTAACTTTTAAAATTTTTATTCTATTTATTTATTTATTTAGAGTTCAAGTTATGAGACTGGCTAATTTTTATATTTTTGGTAGAGTTGGGGATTCACCATGTTACCCAGGCTCATCTCCAACTCCTGGGCTCAAGCAGTCCACCTGCCTTGGCCTCCCAAAGTGCTGGGATTACAGGCATGAGTCATTGCACCTGGCTAAGATCTTTTTAATTTTTTAATGTGGGTGTTTAATGCTATAAATTCTTCTCTTTTTTTTTTTTTTTATTGGATTATAGGTTTTGGGGTACATGAGCAGAGCATGCGAGACAGTTGCGTAGGTACACACATGGCAGTGTGCTTTGCTTTTCTTCTCCCCTTCACCCACATTTGGCATTTCTCCCCAGGCTATCCCTCCCCACCTCCCCCTCCCACTGGCCCTCCCCTTTTCCCCCCAATAGACCCCAGTGTTTAGTACTCCCCTTTCTGTGTCCATGTGTTCTCATTTTTCATCACCCACCTATGAGTGAGAATATGTGGTGTTTCATTTTCTGTTCTTGTGTCAGTTTGCTGAGGATGATGTTTTCCAGATTCATCCATGTCCCTACAAACGACACGAACTCATGCTGTTTTATGTGTTCCAGAAATTTTAGCAAGTTGTATCTTTATTCTCATTAGTTTCAAAGAACTTCTTGATTTCTCCCTTAATTTTATTATTTACCCAAAAGGCATTCAGGAGCAGGTTGTTTAATTTCCATTTAATTGCATGGGTTTTGAGCAATTTAAAAAATCCTGACTTCTATTTTTATTGTGCTATAGTTCTAGAGTATGTTTTGCATGATTTTGGTTCTTTTGCAGTTGCTGAGGATTGTTTTATGTCTAATTATGTGGTCAATTTTAGAGTACTTGCCATGTGGCAATGAGAATAATGTATATTCTGTTGGGTTTGGGTGGAGAGTTCGGTAGAGGTCTATCAGATCCATTTAGTTTAATGTTGAGTTTAGGTCCCGAATATGTTAATTTTCTGCCTTGATCTTTCTAATACTGTTAGTACAGTGTTGAAGTCTCTCATTCGTATTATGTGGGAGCCTAAGTCTCTTTGTAGGTCTCTTAAGAACTTGCTTTATGAATCTGGATGCTCCTGTGTTGGGTGCATATATATTTAGGATATTTAGGCTTCTTGTTGAGTTGAACCTTTTACCATTATATAATGCCCCTCTTTATCTTTTTCTGTCTTTGTTGGTTTAAAGTGTCTTTTGTCTGAAATTAGGATTGTAACCCCTGCTTTTTTCTGATTTCCATTTGCTTGGTAGATTTTCTTCCATCCCTTTATTTTTAGCTTATGTGTGTCATTACATGTAAGATGGATCTCTTAAAGACAGCATACCACTGGGTCTTGTTTTTTTTTTTATCCAGCTTGCCACTCTGTGCATTTTAAGTGGGGCATTTAGCCTGTTTATATTCAAGATTCGTATCGATATGTGTGGATTCAATCCTGTCATTGTGTTGTTAGCTGGTTACTATGCCAGCTTGTGTGACTGCTTTAGTGTCACTGGTCTGTGTACTGAAGTGTGTTTTTGTATGGGCTGGTAATGGTCTTTTCTATATTTCGTGTTTCAAGATCTCTTGTAAGGCAGGTCTGTTGGTAACAAACTTCCTCAGCATTTGTTTATCTGTAACATACCTTATTTCTCCTTTGTTTAGGAAGCTTAGTTTCATTGGATATCAAATTCTTAGTTGAAGATTTTTCTTTGACTGTTGAATCTCTTCTGGCTTCTAGGGTTTCAGCTGAGAGGTCTGCTGTTAACCTGATGAGGCTCCCTTTGTAGTTACCTTCCTTTAACATTCTTTCTTTAATTTCAGTCATGGAAAATCTGAGGATTATGCATCTTCAAGATGATCTTCTTGTGTAAAATCTTGAAGGGGTACTATGTATTTCCTGAATTTGACTATTGTCCTATCTAGCAAGGTTGGGGAAGTTTTCATGGATGATATCTTGAAATATGTTTTCCGTGTTGTTTGCTTTCTCCTCATCTCTTTCAGGGATGCCAGTGATTCGTAGATTTGGCATCTTTATATAATCCCACATTTCTCAGAAGTTTTCTTCATTCCTTTTCATTATTTTTATTTATTTTTGTCTGTCTTATTTCAGTGAGCCAGTCTTCAATTTCATGACACTTTCCTCAGTTTGTTCTGTTCCACTGTTAATACCTGGAGTTGCATTGTGAAATTCTTGTAGTGTGTTTTTCAGCTCTGTCAGATCTGGTAAGTTCTTTTTTTTACTGGCATTTTTCCTTTCAGCTCCTGTATCATTTTATTCTAATCTTAGTTTCTTTGGATTGTGTTTTACCATTTTCCTGAATCTTAATGATCTTTTTTCCTATCCATGTTCTCAATTCTATTTCTGTCATTTCAGCCAGCTCAGCCTGGTTAGGAATCCTTGCTGGAGAATTGATGTGATCACTTGGAGGACATGACTCTCTGACCATTTGAGTTACTGGAGTTCTTGCACTGGTTCTGTCTCATCTCTGCATGGGGGTGTTCCTTTAACTACAATATAGATTGAATGCTGTTGATAGACTTTTCTGGATGTTTTCACAGGGCCAATGCTTTGTGTGGGGTCATTGTTTGTAGTTGACTTCTTGTCTTTGGTTTCACAAGGGGATATATTAGTGAGGTGTTTTTGGTGTTGAGGTTCTGGGGTCTGATCCAGTAGGTGGTGCATTGGTGTACTGGTGAGTTGGTAGAATCTTGCTCATTTTTATGGCTCCCCTATATTTCCTCAAAGCTGTAGTCATGGTTCCTCTCAAGGATCTGAAAGTGTGGGCTCCTTTCCCTCTTGAGTACTGGCTGTAGATAGTGGCTTGCTGCTCCTGAGCCTCATAACACAGCTCTGGGGTGATCTCAAGATTTATGTTCCCTCCCCAACTTGAAGGCAGCAGAGGAAGAGACTTCAGTAGTGGCTGTGGCCAAGGGTCTTTTGCTTGTCTCCTGGTGGGGGCTCCACCCCAGAGATGCAGGTCAGCAATCACTCAGTACAATCAGCCCAGGATAGATGGTCTATGATGTGGGCCCAAGCTGGGGGTATCCTGTCTGGCAATGAGCAGGAGGATGGATGAGACCCACAGGAGATAGATTGGCCTTCTCTCCTTGTGTCAACTCCGGCATGTTGGAGGTGTGGATAGGGCACTTAAGATCTTTGTTCCTTTGTTAGTCTGAGGGTATCAAGGGCTGTTCCACTGCAGAGGCAGTGGCAGAGAGCCTTTTGGTTTCCCTGGAGGCTCCATGAAACACAGAGCCATCATTACTGGAAGTGTTGAGGCAGTGTGGTGAGTGGCTGCACTGCTGGCCTGAGCCTGGGATTCCACTTGTTGGAGAGCAGGGGTTCAAAGGCTCACAGGGAGGAAAGATTGGTTTCTTTTCTGTATGGTGGGTATGGCATGCTGTAAACTTGGGTGTAGCCTTCAGGTTCTTTGTATCTTCCCCAGACCAAGGGCAGCAGGGATAGAAGTGTTACTGTGGCAGTGGCAGAGGGGCTATCATACATCTGAGAGCCTTCCTCAGGGAAACTCTGGGCTACAACAAGAGATATGTTCAGCTGTGGGTGGGACAACTGTTCTGCATTTGTAAGTGGGGGGCCCTGTCTGGTGAAGAGTAAGGCTGGGGGTTCCTCAGGAAAAGGAGCTGGACTCCTCTTCATTTGGTGGCTCTGGTGTGCCAGAGGTGCCAGTATAATGACTAGGCCCTTTGTTGCTTCCCAAGTCTGAGGGCTGTTAGGACTACCACTGCAACTGTAGTGGTAGAAGGGTTGTGTGTTGGCTCTAGGATTTCCTTTTCAGAGAAATACTAGGCTGCCTCTCATTGAGGTGATCACACAAGGGCAGGGTGGTTGTGCTAGAGTTCCAGGTCAGGCGACTCTGCCATTGAGAGAAATGAGGACCAGATTTGCATGAATAGTTGGACCAATTTTCTGTGAGGTGGTTGCTCTGTGTTGAGGGCCCAGACCAGCTTCTGGTCCCTGCAGACTCCCCAAGCCTGGAAACAGCAATGTTGCAAAGGCTGCAAGACATTATGGCAACCCACCCCTCCCACCGGGAACTTTGTCCAGGGACTTACAGAACTGCCACTGGCTCAACAGCCCCAGTGGGGTGGTGGCTGGAGGGCTGGGCCTGGAGGACCCACCAAGTGAGGAGACATGGGAAGGAACAGGTGCTCACGTAATAGTCTGGCCACTTTTCCATAGGGCTGCTGTGGCATGCTCGGGGTCCACTCTAGTCTCTATTCACCTTATATTTTCCAGAAATATTTACCTGAAAGTATCAATGGTGAAGACTGCAAAAAAGCAAAGATGGCAGCCTGTCCTTCACTGTGGGTACCTTCATCAGGGAGGTACAGACCTGTTGCCAGCCCAAATGCACCTATAGGAGGTTACTGGAGACCCCAATCAGGAGGTCTTGCCCATTAAGGAGGGACAGGATTGGGGCCCTGCTTTAAAAAGCAGTCTGACCATGTTTTTTTACAGAACAGCTGTGCTTTGCTGAGGATCCGCTCCAGCCCCTGATCACCTTCCTCCAAAGCCCAAAGACAAGAATGGTTAAGTTGACAAAAAAACAAAGATGATGGCCCACCTCTCCTTCTGGAAACTCCATCCCAGAGAGATTTGAAACCACCGTCAGCTAGAAAACAACCAGGGTTAGGAGGTTTTGCCCAGTGAAGAGAAACAGGATTTGGTATCCATGTAAACAAGCAGTCTGCCAACTTCTCCATAGAGTTGCTGGGCTATGCTGAGGGAGTGCTCTAGTCCCTAGTTGCTTCAGATTCCCTAGATCCCTAAGGCAACAATGGCTGAATTTATGAAACAACAACGATTAGTAGCCCACCTTTCCCCTGGGAGCTCTGTCTCAGGGAGGCGTAAAACTAATACTGGTGACAGGTCTGAGTTCCAAGCCAATGGGTCTTATACTGCAAAGTGCTGTAGAAGTGGGGCCTGCAGCATGTCACTGCTCAGCCCTCTGGATTAAGCACCTTTCCTAGGGGTACCGATGGGAGTTTAACCTCCTGTTTTGATTGAGCTTCAGCCACTTTTGCCAGGAAGCCCAGGTATGTAAGGCTCCCAAGGCTCCATGTGTGCTTGAATGGCTGCTCTGCCAGACTTAATATAGTTCTGCATATCAGACTGAAGGCTCTGGTAGAATGGATTCATGAGGCAGTCTCCCATGAATTCTTATGAATTACAAAGATCTGTAGGAGAAGCATGGGTTTCCAGGGTCACTCATCCACTCACGCATCCCTGGGCAGGGAAAATTCCCCTGACTCCATGTCGCTCCTCGGTGGGTCATTGTCTTGACTTGCTTTTCCTCATTCTCTGTGGGTCAAGTTGTTTCCTTAATTAGTCCTAGTACAGGAACCTGGATATTTCCATTGAAGTTACTGTATTTACTCGCCCCTTCTGTTCCTCTCTGTGAGGGCCACATACCTTAGCTGCTTCTAGTCATCCATCTTGGCTACTGCCAAATAGTTGGTGATTTCAGTGCCTCACTTTCAGTAATGAATAGAACAATTAATCTGAATATCAACAAGAAAATTGAATACTTGAACAAAATTATACACCAATTAGACCTAAGAAATATTTATAGAACACTCCAAGGAATAAAGCAGAATATACATGTTTAAGTATACGTGGATTATTATCTAGAATTAACCATAGACCATCAAACAAACTTAAATAAATTTAAAGTATGGAATATAGAAATAATTAAAAGATTAAAATAATGGAAGTACTGTAAAATGTTTTCCAGTCACATGGAAAAAACTACAAATCAGTAACAGAAGGAAAATTGAAAAATTCAAAAGTATGTATAAATTAAACAACATACTTCTTAAGAACAAATGGGTCAGAATAAATCAAAAGAGAAATTAGAAAGTACTCTGTGATGAAAACACATACTAAAACCTGTGTAGCAGGTTTTAGCAAAAGCAGTGTTGTAAGAGAAATTTATAGCTACAAATACCTATGTTAAGAAAGAAGAATATCAATAACTGAACCTTCCACTTTAAGATACTGTGGCAAAAGGAGCAAAATAAATGAAAGCAAGAGGAAGAAATTAAATCATTTATTAAAGTTAATGAAATAAAGAATATAAAAACAAAAGAGCAAATGAAAACAAAATCTGTTTTTTAAAAAAGTAACAACAAAATTGACAAAATTTTAGCTAAATCTGTTAAGAGAGATAGGATTCAAATTGCTAGAATTAGAAATGAAATGAGGACATCACTACTAATCTTACAGGAATAAAAAGGATTGTAAAAGAGTACTACAAACAATTATATGCCAACAAATTAGACATCCTAAATGAAATGGACTAATTTTTAGAAACACACAAACTACTAGAGCTGATTCAAGAAGGAAGAGACAATCTGAGTAGATCTATAACAAGGGGTAAGATTAAATTAGTGATAAAAACACTACCCATAATAAAAACCCAAGCCTAGATGGCCTCACACTGAATTCTAAATATATATAGAATATTTAATACCAATTTTATTTACACTTTTCCAAAAAATAGAAAAGGAGGGAACACTTTCCACTCATGTTAGAAGGCCAGTAGTATCCTGATGACAGAATCAGACAAGGACATCACAAGGAAAATAAATTACTGACCTAATATCTTATAAATATGGATGCAAAATGCCTAAACAAAACTCTTGCAAACTGAATCCAGCACATATAAAAATAATTTTATACATGACCCAGTAGGTTTATCCCGGGAATGCAAGGTTGGCTTAAGACCCAAAAGTGAATTAATTTAATAAAGGCGACAGAATAAAAAAAACTGAAACCAAAACCCAATCTATGTGATCATGTCAATAGCTATAGAAAAGGCACTTGCCAAAAGCCAACACTGTTTTGTGACGGAAACACTCAATAAACTAGAAATAGATGGGAAATGTCTTAATCTGATAAAGAATAATTGTTAAAAACCCACAGTTAGCATCATATTTTATAATCAAAGACTGGATATTTTCCCTCTAAGATCAGCAAAAAAGGCAAAGATGTTAACTGTCATCACTTTATTTACCATAACACTAAAGGTTCTGTTAATAGCCAGGGAAGTAGGTATGGTTTGAATGTGTGCCCCAAATTCAGTTAGTTGGAAACTTAATTTCTAACTTTACATATTGATGGTATTTGGAGGTAGAGTTTTTAGGATGTAATTAGGATTAGATGAAGTCGTCAAGGTGGAACCCCCATAAAGGAATTGGTGACTTTATAAGAAGAGGAAGTTAGCACACTTGTTCTGTCTCACCGTGTGATGCCTTTTGCCATATCATGATATAGCAAGAAGGCCCTCACCAGATACCAGTGCCATGCTCTTGGACTTCCCAGCCTCCAGACCCATAAGCTAAATAAACCTCTGTTTATTGTAGATAATCCAGTTTGTAGTATTTAGTTACAGCAAGACTAAGACAGAAATTAGGCAGCAAAAAGAAAAAAAGGCCATTTAAGTTGGAAAATAAGTAAAACTATTTCTATATTCCCAGACAACATAATCTTATACAGTATTTACAAAATCCTATAGAATCCACTCAACAACAACTAGAACTAATAAACAAGTTCAACAAGGTTGTAAGATACCATATTAATATACAAAACTCAATTGTATTCTCATGCATTTCCAATGAACAATCCAAAATGAAATTATAATCCTATTTACTATAAATATTATAAAAAGCAATAAAATACTTAGGAATAAACTTAACAAAAGTGAAAAACATACACTCTGCTTGTCCACTGAAAACTACAAAACATTGCTGAAAGAAATTAAAGATGACACAAATAAATGGAAAGACACTTAGTGTTCATACCCTATAAGACTTAATATTGTTAAGATGTCAGTACTATGCAAAGTGATCTAACAGACTCAACACAATCCCTCTAAAAATCCCCATGGCATTCTTTTTTTTTTGCAGAAACATAAAAGTCCATCCTAAAATTTCAGTTAAATCTCAAAGGACCTTCAGAAGCCAAAGCAATTTTGAAAAAGAGAGAAGTTGGAAGTCTGAAAATTCCTGATCTCAAAATGTATTACAAAACTATAATAATCAAAACACTATGGTACTGGCATAAAGACAAACGTATTGACAAATGGAAAGGAATGGAGAGCCCAGAATTAAATGCTTGTATATACGGTCACGTGATCTTCAACAAGGGTACCAAAATCACTCAGGCAAAAGACAGTTTCTTTAACAAATGCTGTTGTGAAAACTGGATATGCAAACGCAAAAGAATGAAGTTGGACTCTTACCATCACATACAAAAATTAACTCAAAATGGATTAAAAACTTATACACAAAACCAGCAACTATAAAAGCACTAGAAGGAAGAAAACATATGGGGAAAGATTTATGACATTAACTTTAGCATTATTTTTGTGGATATGACATTAAAAGCACAGGCAACAAAAGCCAAAATAGACAAATGGCACTATATCAAACTTTAAAACTTGTGTGCATGAAAGGACACAATCAACAAAGTAAAACAGCAGCCTGTGGAATGAGAAAAAGCACTTGCAACCCATGTATCTGATAAGGGATTAAAAGAACTCTTATAATGTTACAACAAATTATCCAATTTAAAAGAATATAAAAAGAACTCTTGTAATGCCACAACAAATAATCCAATTAAAAAGTAGGCAGAAGAGTTGAATAGTTATTTTTCAAGGATAATATGCACATAACCAACAAACATGCATTGCTGCTTGACATCAGTAATTATTAGAGAAATAGAAATCAAAACCACATTGAGATATCACTTCACACCCATTACAATGGCTACTATCAAAAACAAAAACAGAAAATAAATGTTACTTTAGATGTGGAAAAATTGGGACCCTTCTACACTTTTATTGAAAATATAATATGATGCAGCCACTATGAAAAGCAGTATGGAGTTTTCTGAAAAATTAAACATAGAAATACCATATGATTCAGCAATCACACCTTTGGGTATGTTTCTAAAATAATTGAAATCAGGATCTTGAAGAAATATTTGCACACCCATATTTATGGGAGCATTATTTTTTTAATATATTTTTATTTCTTATTTCTAAATTTCCCTATATCCAAGTACAGTTACAATATTTTATGTTTTAGCCTTTTAGTTCCATTTTTTTTCTGATTTCCATGAACTTTTTGAAGTTTCCTCACATTTTATTTACAATATTTGTGGCTTTGAGTGGGAGACTATTCTGCTATAATGCTGAAAATAGAAGTTGTCTTTTATGTTAGTCTTCACCTTAACACACCATTGATCATTCACTCAAGATACCTCCATTCTTTTCTTTTTTGTTGCATTTTAGGTTTTGGGGTACATGTGAAGAACATGCAAGATAGTTGCGTAGGTACACATGTGGCAGTGTGATTTGCTGCCTTCCTCCCCTTCACCTATATCTCGCATTTCTCCCCATACTATCTCTCCCCAACTCCCCACTCCCCTCTGTCCCTCCCCACAACAGACCCCTGTGTGTAGTGCTCCCCTCCCTGTGTCCATGTGTTCTCATTGTTCAACACCCTCGTCTATGAGCGAGAACATGTGGTATTTCATCTTCTGTTCTTGTGTCAGTTTGCTGAGAATGATGGTTTCCAGGTTCATTCATGTCCCTACAAAGGACACGAACTCATCGTTTTTGATTGCTGCATAATATTCCATGGTGTATATGTGCCATATTGTCCCTGTCCAGTCTATCATTGATGGACATTTCGGTTGGTTCCAGGTCTTTGCTGTTGTAAACAGTGCTGCAATGAACATTCGTGTGCATGTGTCCTTATAGTAGAACGATTTATAGTCCTTTGGGTATATACCCAGTAATGGGATTGCTGAGTCAAATGGAATTTCTATTTCTAGGTCCTTGAGGAATCACCACACTGTCTTCCACAATGGTCGAACTAATTTACACTCCCACCAGCAGTGTAAAAGTGTTCCTATTTCTCCACATCATATCCAGCGTCTGTTGTCTCCAGATTTTTTAATAATCACCATTCTAACTGGCGTGACATGGTATGTCAGTGTAGTTTTGATTTGCATTTCTCTCATGACCAGTGATGATAAGCATTTTTTCATATATTTGCTAGCCTCATGTATGTCTTCTTTTGTAAAGTCTGTTCATATCCTTTGCCCACTTTTGAATGGGCTTGTTTGTTTTTTTCCTGTAAATCTGTTTGAGTTCTTTATAAATTCTGTATATCAGCCCTTTGTCAAATGGGTAGACTACAAAAATTTTTTCCCATTCTGTTGGTTGCCAGTTCACTCTAAAGACTGTTTCTTTTGCCATGCAGAAGCTGTGGGGTTTGATTAGATCCCATTTGTCTGTTTTGGCTTTTGTTGCCAATGCTTTTGGTGTTTTGTTCATGAAGTCCTTGCCTACTCCTATGTCCTGAATGGTTTTGCCTAGATTTTCTTCTAGGGTTTTTATGCTGTTAGGTCTTATGTTTAAGTCTTTAATCCATCTGGAGTTAATTTTAGCGTGAGGTGTCAGGAAGGGGTCCAGTTTCTGCTTTCTGTCCATGGCTAGCCAGTTTTTCCAACACCATTTATTAAACAGGGAATCCTTTCCCCATTGCTTGATTTTGTCAGGTTTATCAAAGATCATATGGTTGTAGATACATTGTGTTGCCTCCGAGGCCTCTGTTCTGTTCCATTGGTCTATCTCTGTTTTGGTACCAGTCCCATGCTGTTTTGATTACTGTAGCCTTGTAGTATAGTTTGAAGTCCGGTAGTGTGATGCCTCCTGCTGTATTCTTTTTTTTTTTTTTTTTTTTGAGACGGAGTTTCGCTCTTGTTACCCAGGCTGGAGTGCAATGGCGCAATCTCGGCTCACCGCAACCTCCGCCCCCTGGGTTCAGGCAATTCTCCTGCCTCAGCCTCCTGAGTAGCTGGGATTACAGGCACGCGCCACCATGCCCAGCTAATTTTTTGTAATTTTTAGTAGAGACGGGGTTTCACCATGTTGACCAGGATGGTCTCGATCTGTTGACCTCGTGATCCACCCGCCTCGGCCTCCCAAAGTGCTGGGATTACAGGCTTGAGCCACCGCGCCCGGCCTTGCTGTATTCTTTTTGCTTAGAATTGACTTGGCTATGTGGGCTCTCTTTTGGTTCCATATGAAGTTTAAGGTGGTTTTTTTCAGTTCTGTGAACAAGGTCATTGGTAGCTTGATGGGGATGGCGTTGACTCTGTAAATTACTTTGGGCAGTATGGCCATTTTCATGCTATTGATTCTTCCTAACCATGAACATGGAATGTTTCTCAATCGTTTGTGTCATCTCTTATTTCATTGAGCAGTGGTTTGTAGTTCTCCTTGAAGAGGTCCCTTACGTTCCTTGTGAGTTGTATTCCAAGGTATTTTATTCTTTTTGTAGCAATTGTGAATGGCAGTTTGTTCTTGATTTGGCTTTCTTTAAGTCTGTTATTGGTGTAGACGAATGCTTGTGATTTTTGCACATTGATTTGATATCCTGAGACTTTGCTGAAGTTGCTTATCAGTTTCAGGAGTTTTTGGGCTGAGGTGATGGGGTCTTCTAGGTATACTATCATGTCGTCTGCAAATAGAGACAATTTGGCTTCCACCTTTCCTATTTGAATACCCTTTATTTCTTTTTCTTGCCTGATTGCTCTGGCTAGAACTTCCAGAACTATATTGAATAGGAGTGGTGAAAGAGGGCATCCTTGTCTAGTGCCAGATTTCAAAGGGAATGCTTCCAGTTTTTTCCCATTCAGTATGATATTGGCTGTTGGTTTGTCATAAATAGCTTTTATTACTTTGAGATACGTTCCATCGATACCGAGTTTATTGAGGGTTTTTAGCATAAAGTGCTGTTGAATTTTGTCAAAGGCCTTCTCTGCATCAATTGAGATAATCATGTGGTTTTTGTCTTTGGTTCTGTTTATGTGGTGAATTACATTTACAGAATTGAATATGTTGAACCAGCCTTGCATCCCCGGGATGAAGCCTCCTTGATAATAGTGGATAAGCTTCTTGATGTGCTGTTGCATTTGGCTTGCCAATATTTTATTGAAGATTTTTGTGTCTATGTTCATCATGGATATTGGCCTGAAGTTTTCTTTCTTGTTGAGTCTCTGCCGGGTTTTGGTATCAGGATGATGTTGTTCTCATAAAATGATTTGGGAAGGATTCCCTCTTTTTGGATTATTTGGAATAGTTTCAGAAGGAATGGTAACAGCTCCTCTTTGTGTGTCTGGTAGAATTCGGCTGTGAACCCATCTGGACCTGGGCTTTTATTGTGTGGTAGGCTCTTAATTGCTGACTCAACTTCAGATCTTGTAATTGGTCTATTGAGGGTTTCAACTTCTTCCTGGTTTAGACTTGGGAGAAGGCAGGTGTTCAAGAATTTATCCATTTCTTACAGGTTTACTAATTTATGTGCATAGAGTTCTTTGTAATATTCTCTGATGATGGTTTGTATTTCTGTGGAATCTGTGGTTGTTTCCCCTTTATTGTTTTTTATTGCATCTATTTGGTTATTTTTTCTTTTTTTTTAATTAATCTGATTATTGGTCTATTTTGTTGATCTTTTAGAAAAACCAGCTCCTGGATTTATTGATTTTTTTTGAAGGGTTTTTTGTGTCTCTATCTCCTTCAGTTCTGCTCTGATCTTAGTTATTTCTTGTCTTCTGCTAGGTTTTGAGTTTTTTTGATCTTGCTTCTCTAGCTCTTTCAATTTTGACGATAGGGTATACATTTTGGATGTCACCTTTCTTCTCATGTGGGTACTTACTGGTATATATTTTCCTCCAGAGACTGCTTTAAATGTGTCCCAGAGATTCTGGTATGTTGTGTCTTCATTCTCATTGGTTTCGATGAACTTCTTTATTTCTGCCTTCATTTCATTGTTTATCCAGTCAACATTCAAGAACCATTTGTTCAGTTTTTATGAAGCTGTGCGGTTCTGAGTTAATTTCTGAATTCTGAGTTCTAACGTGATTGCACTGTGGTCTGAGAGACTGTTTGTTATGTTTTCCGTTCTTTTGCATTTGCTGAGGAGTGATTTAATTCCATTTATGTGGCCAATTTTAGAGCAGGCATGATGTGGTGCTGAGAAGAATGTATATTCTGTGGATTTGGGGTGGAGAGTTCTGTAAATGTCTATCAGGTTTGCTTGTTCCAGGTCTGAGTTCAAGTCCTAGATATCCTTGTTAATTTTCTGTCTGGTTGATCTGTCTAATATTGACAGTGGAGTGTTAAAGTCTCCCACTATTATTGTATGGGAGTCTAAGTCTCTTTGTAAGTCATTAAGAACTTGCCTTATGTATCTGGGTGCTCCTGTATTGGGTCCGTATATATTTAGGATCATTAGCTCTTCTTGTTATATCAATCCTTTTACCGTTATGTAAAGTCCTTCTTTGTCTCTTTTGATCTTTGTTGCTTTAAAGTCTATTTTATCAGAGACAAGAATTGCAACTCCTGCTTTTTTTTTTTTTTTCTCTCCATTGGCTAAGTAAATGTTCCTCGATCCCTTTATTTTGAGCCTTTGTGTATCCTTGCATATGAGATGGGTTTCCTGGATACAGCACACCGATGGGTTTTGGCTTTTTATCAAATTTGCCAGTCTGTGTCTTTTGATTGGTGCATTTAGCCCATTTACATTAAGGGTTAATATTGTTATGTGTGAATTTGATACTGCCATTTTGATACTAGCTGGCTGTTTTGCTCGTTAGTTGATGCAGATTCTTCATTTTGTTTATGCTCTTTACCATTTGGTATGTTTTTGCGGTGGCTGGTACTGGTTATTCCTTTCTATGTGTAGTGCCTCTTTCAGGAGCTCTTGTAAAGCAGGCCTGGTGGTAACAAAATCTCTGAGTTCTTGCTTGTTGGTAAAGGATTTTATTTTTCCTTCACTTATGAAGCTCAGTTTGACTGGAAATGAAATTCTGTGTTGAAAGTTTTTTTCTTTAAGGTTGTTGAATATTGGCCCCCACTCTCTTCTGGCTTGTAGGGTTTCTGTGAGAGATCTGCTTTGAGTCTGATGGGCTTCCCTTTGTGGGTGACCCGACCTTTCTCTCTGGCTGCCCTTAGCATTTTCTCCTTCATTTCAACCTGGTGAATCTGATGATTATGTGCCTTGGGGTTGCTCTTCTTGAGGAATATCTTTGTGGTATTCTCTGTATTTCCTGGACTTGAATATTGGCCTGCCTTGCTAGGTTGGGGAAGTTTTCCTGGATAATATCTTGAAGAGTATTTTACAGCTTGGATTCATTCTCTTCATCACATTCAGGTACACCTATCAAAGGTAGGTAGGTTAGGTCTTTTCACATAGTCCCATATTTCTTGGAGACTTTGTTCATTTTTTTTTTGCGCTTTTTTCTCTAATCTTGCCTTCTCATTTTATTTCATTAATTTGATCTTCAACCTCTGATATCCTTTCTTCTGCTTGGTCAATTCAGCTGTTGAAACTTGTGCATGCTTCGTGAAGTTCTCGTGTTGTGTTTTTTAGCTCCATCAATTCACTTATATTCCTCTCTAAGTTGTTCATTTTGTTATCATTTCGTCAAATCTTTTTGCAAGGTTCTTAGTTTCTTTGCATTGAGTTAGAACATGTTCTTTTAGCTCATGGAAGTTTCTCATTACCCACCTTCTGAAGTCTGATTCTGTCATTTCATCACACTCATTCTCCATCCAGCTTTGTTCCCTTGCTGGTGAGGAGTTGTGATCCATTGTTGGAGGAGAGGTGTTCTGGTTTTGGGTGTTTTCCTCCTTTTTGTGCTGGTTTCTTTCCATCTTTGTGGATTTATCCATGTGTCGTCTTTGTAGTTGCTGAGTTTCAGATTGGGTCTCTGAGTGGACATCCAGATTGTTGATGATGACGTTATTTCTGTTTCTTAGTTTTCCTTGTAACAGTCTGGGCCCTCTGCTTTAGGACTGCTGAGGTCCACTCCAGGCCCTGCTTGCCTGGGGATCACCTGCAGCAGCTGCAGAACAGTAAGGGTTGCTACCAGTTTTTTCTTCTGCTATCTTTGTCCCAGAATGATGCCTGCCAAATGTTAGTCTGATCAGTTCTTTGTGAGATGACTCTTTGGATATACGGGGGTCAGGGAGCTACTTGAGGAGACAGTCTGTCCTTTATAGCAGCTCAAGTGCTGATCTGTGAGCTCTGTTGTTCATTCAGAGCTGCTAGGCAGGTACGTTTAAGTCTGCTGCAGCAGAACTCATAAACCCCCTGTTTTTTCCCCCAGGAGTGCTCGGTCCTGAGGAGTTAGGGCTTTATTTATGAGTTTCCATTGTGCTGCTGCCTTTTTTTTCGGGGCTGCCCTGACCAGCAAAGAGGCAGCCTAGTCATTGTCTGCCTGCAGAGGCTTTGCTGAGCTGCTGTGGGCTCTGCCCAGCTGCCGTGTGAACTTTTCTGCAGTCCTGTTTATATGTGTGTGGTTAGAACTGCCTTGGCAATGGTGGCCCGCCTCTGCAATGGTGGACTCTCTCTGTTATGGCAGGCTGCCTTGGCAATGGCATGCTGCCTCAGCAATGGCGGACTACCTCCATAGGGGTGGAGTGCCTCAGTATTGGCAGACGACCCTCCCCACAGACCTGCACTGTCCCAGGTTCAGCTGTGGTTGTCGTGAAACTCTCAACCCAAAGTGTTTCCAATTGCTGGGTTTTGGTTTTTGTTTTTGTGGGGAGTGGAACCCGCCAAGCCTGATTACCTGGCTCTCTAGCTCGGCTTTTTTTTTTTTAAGTTGAATGGCTGACTCTCTCCCAGGTGTTCCAGTCACCTGCTGAGAAGGTGCCGGGATCTGTGTGATTTCCCATGCGGTGACCCACTGTGCCAGCTGAAACAATGGTGCTGAGATTCATGGTGCTTTTTTGCCTGAGAATCTCCTGGCCTGGCTCCCTGTTTGAGTCTCCTGTTTAATCAGATGAATGGGTGAATCTGCCTTTCCACAGCTCTAATTGCCAGCTTAAAAGGACAACCAGAGCAATATGTTTTGTACGGAGAACCACTGCACCAGGGCATGGGCAAAACAGCCACGCTGGCCAAATCAGCCATGCTGGTGACCCGTGGGGCTCCTCTGCCTGGGGATCTCCTGGTCTGTGGGCAATAAAGATCCATCTGGAAGTGCAGCATCCACTCACCCTATGTGCTTCCACTGGGATCTGCAATCCTGAGTTGCTCCTAAACCGCCATCTTGCTCCACCCCTCCATTTGTTCCCAGGAGCATTGTTAAGAGCCAACCTATGGATGTTCATCAAGAGATGGACTAATAAAGAAAATGCAATTTATATGCAAATGTAGTATAAAATAAAATATCTTTTAATCTTAAAATGTATTTCCTTCCTTTAGCAGCAAGTGTAGCATACAAATGTAGTACAAAATATTATTCAACCTTAAAAAGGATTTTCTTCCTTTTTAATGCAAATGCAAAAGAATGAAGTTGGACTCTTACCACCATATACAAAAGTTAACTCAAAATGGATTGAAAACTTAAACATAAGACCAACAACTATAAAAGAAGCAAATCCTTTTTAAGGTTAGATAATACTTTATTTTATACCACATTTGCATGCTTACCTCTGTTGCTAAACTGTTTGCTTAAAAATTGTTAGGATGATAAATTTTACATTATGTGAGTTTTGCTATAATCTTAAAAAAGTTTTACTCTCAAAACTATAAAACATTGTTGAAATTAAAGAATATCTAAATAAGTAGAGAAACATCCTATGTTTATTGATCAGAAAAGTTAATATTAAATTGTTAGGTTGGCAGTATTGTAACTGATCTACATATTCAACACAGAATTCTATGGAGAACTTTACAAAAACCATAATATACGTGAGATTTCTATTTTTCTCTCTTAGAAATTGATGTGTCAGAGAGCTTAAGTTTGGATATAGGAGATTTGAACAACATAATTATCAAACTTGATTAAGTAAACATTTTATATGCAAGAATCAGAAAATATCTGTATACATTCTCTCAAGGACATATGGTACATTTACAAGAACTGATGTTTTGGAACTCATTGTCTCAAGAAATTTTTAGGTAATACTGAGTTTTTATCCTCTAATTATAATACAAAATTAATATTTAATAGTAAAAAATAATTTTGATAATCTTATTTCGAAGTTATGAAATACACTTTTAAATAATTCATATATCAAAGAATAAAGTGTCACTGGAAATTTTGATTTTCTATCAAACTAGGAGATGCAGCCAATTATGTTCAGAGGGAAATTTATACTTTTTAATGCTTATGTTTAAAAAGAAAAACAAAAAATTAAGATGTGAGTCCCCAAACTCAAGAAATGATTTAGGAAGAAAAACAATTAAGTTAATGAAGTAGAAAATAAGGAGGATACATTTAAAAATAAGTTACAGGGCAGGAGAAGATATATGTACTATTTATAACTGGAAAAAAAAAACTGGTATCCAGAATATCCAAAAACACCCTTACAAATCACTGACAAAAAGGCAGACAATCAATTAGAAAAGGGAGTAAAACACTTAAATAGTCAGTTTGACAAATGAGAAACTCTGCATGGCCAATCACTATATTAATAAATGTTCAACTTTTTTTAGTGATAAGAGAAATGAAAATTTAAAACACCACATACCTGTACACCTCATCAGTTGAACAAAAAAATAAGTCTGACAACTCCAAGTTTGGACAAAGATGTGGAGTGTCAAGACTTCATACAGTGTTTGTGAGAGCATAAATTGATATAACCACTTGGAGAAAATAATGTGACATTATCCAACTATATTGAAGATAAGCTTACTGTGGCAGTCTAAATCCAGTTAGGAGACAGAAACCCCACAGTAGTCTAAATATCAGACTTAGTACCTGTGATTAAATATCAACTGTAAAATATGAGGAAAGAGTACCCAAGGAAAGACAAACTTGAAAGAGTTTCAGACCTCATTGGAGAACATCTGTTTGGCCACTAAATAGCAAAAAAAAAACCAAAAAAACAAAACAAAACTTCTTATGTAGCCAGATTACAGCTGGTCTGAGCAAACAATACGCAACTCTCTAGTATACAGGTAGGGAAACAGGCTATCAGCAATACCTAGTGTGGCCTGCAATAGGACGCTGGGGATGAAAGTAGGAGACCAGAGCATACCCACACCCGAGAACCCACACAGGAAGTGGCAGCTCTGTGTTGTGAGCCTCTATGCCACAGGGGGCTGTTGTGAAGGTCATGTGGGAGCTTTGGTTTTTATGTCCAGAGGGCTGTGGAAAGGTTATCATCAAGCTAAGGCTGCAGTATTGCAAACTAATCTCAGGACTTAGTGGATTCTAATGGATGTCTTCACATCCACACCTCTGAAAAAAATTGCAAGAAGTTTTTTTATCCTGAAATGTCTCTTCAACATCCTTACTGAAAAAAAATTACATAATGCTCACTTTAAAAGAAAAGTACTTGAGAGAATTCCATTATTAAACATAGGCCATATATTAAAGGGTACCTTTAGAGCTGAGGAGGGATCAATTGCTAATGGAAATTCCCTGAAATTTGAAATGCAT